GCTGCAAAGGTGGTCCCTGCCCAGAACCCCCCCCGGGCTCCTCGCGCGAGCGTCCTCTGAGCCGCCAGTGGGCAGGAAGTTTAATTAATTAATTTCCTTTATATTCTGCAGTGCACGTCACACGGATTGCCCAATTTGTAAAACATCCTCGTTTTTCTCTTTAGCCGCACTGGCAAGAGCCATCATTACTTCCGAACTGTCCCCACTGCTTTCCTTTATTCTCTCTGATGAAGGCCAATTGCTGAGAAGCTGGTTTGCTCCACGGTGCAGCCATTTCACAATCATCCTTTGATTCAATCTCTTGATTTATGAAGTCTGATTTGTTTCCAATACTTACCTCTCTGACTTGGATCTATTAATTCTCCTTAGCTCATTTAGGTCACATTAAGTCATTGTGTCTCGCTCCTAATCGCCCATGCATTAGCTGATTCCTGTAGTTAGTCTTTCTGCTGGAGTAAGTATGACACCTTCCTTCTACCTGGATTCAGTATTTCATCTTATTATCACGTAGTCATTTTCACTCATCAAGTTTTCTATATTTCCTAGAAATTTTAAAATAATAATAAAAACCACTACTAATTTTTCTCCCCTCAGTTTTGTTTTTTTGGGGTTTTGTTGTTGTTGTTTTTTATTTAATCTGGCAAACCCTCAGCTCCTTTCTGCAGCACTGCTTAACAGCCAGTACAACTTTTTTTAATCCAAGTTCCTTTTTTATTTCCTTCTGGTAGCTGAATACCAGATGATTTATCTCATGTATGGTTTTCTTTTCTCTAGAGACTGAGGATTATTAGAAATGCAAGAGAGAGAAAAGAGAACACGTTCTGATTTTAATTGAAAAAATTATCCAATATTTAGAATTCAATATTTCCTAATAGGTTAGAATAGTGTTTAATATAAGTCGGACTCCACGTTTCGGCTACGATGTATTGTGCCATTAAATAGCATTTTGAATGTGAGTGAACTGAAATTAGTAATACTGTCTTAGTTTTTACCAGCTGAAATGTTGAACTCCTTTTCTTCTATCTCCTTGTTACAAGAAGAGGTAAAAATCTACAGTAGATGGTGTGCTGTCCCAGAGATTGCTGTGATTTGGGCTGCAGTGTGACTTTTTAGCATCCCTGTTTTGCTTTGTTTAAATTCATGATTGACTGGATCACTTTATTTTGTACAGACCTGGTTTGTGCGTGGTTATAAATGAGTCTGGCAGTGGTGCGGCTTTGGCTGCAGCAGTGGGGAAGAGCCGGACTCTGGCCACGGCCAGGAGGGGGTTTTCAGGATTGCTCTGAGCCACGTGGACCTGCTGTGTCTTTTCTGAGGCCTCAGAGCCACTGCGAATAGATGTCCTTTCGGTCACTGGACAGGCCAGAACGGAAAAGAAGCTAGAGGGAAGGGGGAGACAAAAAGCAGTTTTGTGTCATTCTGTTCCGCGTGCAGATACCAGCAGCGCTGGTAAGCCTAGGCTTCTCTGCACTTCTTTCTAGCATTTTCTCTTTATTGCTAGTGCAGCAGGGGGAGAAGCAGTAGGGTTTCTCCAGAGGATGTTGGAAAATGGTTCTCCCACTTCTTCACGTCCAATCTCCACTTAAAGCTTCTTGTGAATGTCTTTTTTCCTGAAGTTAAAAAATACTGTCTGTTGTTAGACATTGTTGGTTTATTTACCGTTAGTATGTGCAGTACCATTGCCATCATTCAGTAACATTTGTTTTCTTTTTTTAACAATAAAGAAAAACATAAGTGGCAGACAGATTTTGATGTCTGGTGTTGGACTGCAAACCTTCCACGCTCACAGATGGGTTTTCTAGCATGGCTCAGAGAGGCTTTCTGTACGCTTGTCCCATTAACCAGGGTAACGGTATGTGCACTCTACTAATGAGGAGTCACACTACGCAAACAGCAGCCTTTAAAGGGAACAAGGGATCAGAGCAGCATGTATTTGTGGTGCCAGAAACTATCCGCCTTCATCTAAATTCCCCACACATCACTTAGAAGAAATAAAGTGAATATATAATACAACAAAGGCCCCTAAAAATACAGAGTGAAACCTATCAAATGCAACAGCCAAATTAATTTTTGGTCTTGAAAGCTGTCCCTGCACAGTAATTTGCAAGATTACTTGCATCTGCTGTCAGGCGCTGCCCCTGTTTCAGTACTGCTGACTTTTATAACATCATGGCTCAGATCCACAGAGTCGCTTAGACATCTAACCGGCGAGAACTGGGTCTCCGCATGTTTTGGTGCATGTGAGCACTCGTGTTTTCTCAAGAGGCTCCACTGTAGGAAACATGATTGTGTCATATCAGACACTCAAATTGTCTATACTTTTGGAAAAAACCTACAAATAGGACCCCTAGAGGCTGTGGCATCAGAAGATGAAAAAGAACCCATAAGCCATTATTAAAGGGGGAGGGAGGGGGGGGTAAGAAAATATCAGACCCTCGTGATTTTAAAGCAATCTGTTGATACGTATTCTTGGGTGTACCGACGGCATTCTAGTCAGCTAGCTGGCCTCAAAACCTGAGCCAACGGCAGTATATGTGTTACAAAGCTTTGAGCAGGACTGTTGCATGGCAACTGATTAGCTAATGTTTGTATTAGTATATTCCTTTAAGAATTTTCTATGTTTTTCAATGCTTGATAGAAAAATTATTTTTTAAAGCTTACCAGCAGCTATTGCTGATCACCTACATTTTATGTGGAAATAAAAAAGAGGAGGGTAATTCCTTACCAATGGCAGTGAAACGCATGTGGGTATGGAAGAGAGATCAGCGCGCGATGTTCTTCAGCTCAGGCGCCGCTGGGAGCTGCCAGCGGAGGGTTTCCTCTCCCTGGGTTCGGCTGAAGGAGTGCTGGGCATGTACTTAAAGCTGCATGGGACACCTCTGATTTATGAGATCCATTTTTTCCACCAGTATTTCTAAAAGAAAAGTGAAAGGCAACAAAGGTTTGTCCCAGCAGCTACCCGAGCTGTTCTCTGCTGTAGAGGTATATCTTCCCTGATGTGTCTGCTGAGCATTTGCAAGACAGGCACACAAAAATCAGAATTGCGGCTCCTGGCTGCGTGTAATTTAATAACGAATGCTGCATTCCTTCGCCACCACTGCAGCAATTCAGGCCTGTTGGCATGGACGCTGCCAAGCCTCCGACCCGACTGTGTGAAGTCAGGCTTGCATTGCCATCGTTTCCACTGACGGTCTATTAATCTGCAAGTGCTGCAGAGGACAGCCTGCCTTCCTCTTGGAGACCGCCGGCCGTGTGAGGGGTGTGTGCGATTTCATCTGGCATCGTGGCATGCATCCTGGGGGATAGCTTTTAGAAGGGCAAGATATCAGACCCTCGTGATTTTAAAGCAATCTGTTGATACGTATTCTTGGGTGTACCGACGGCATTCTAGTCAGCTAGCTGGCCTCAAAACCTGAGCCAACGGCAGTATATGTGTTACAAAGCTTTGAGCAGGACTGTTGCATGGCAACTGATTAGCTAATGTTTGTATTAGTATATTCCTTTAAGAATTTTCTATGTTTTTCAATGCTTGATAGAAAAATTATTTTTTAAAGCTTACCAGCAGCTATTGCTGATCACCTACATTTTATGTGGAAATAAAAAAGAGGAGGGAGAGATTCTCCTGCCTGGCCAAGTAGTGCTTAAAGCAACATGGAAGGGTTGCAAGAGGAGAGGGGAGCAGGGAGCCAGGGTTAAGAAGTTTTTATGCTACCCACTCAGAAAGCTGCAAAGCCCCAGCCCAGCTACTAACCCAAGTTCATTTACAGGTGTCACGTTGTGCCTTTGGGGACTGTGGTACCTCCTGAGGATCAGCTGGCCAAGCAGAGGCACAGCAGTCCCTGAGAAGGTGTCAAACTGAGCATCTTTCCACTCGAGCATGGCCAGTGTAGTGGGAGTCAGTTATAAATTCTTGGGATGGCCGTACGCTTGCGATGAATTGCAGCCATTAGGGCCTGAATCCTTCCCTGCCGGATCCCCGGCTCTGAATGAACTGAATCCCTTAAGTCCCTGGGCAGCCTATCAGCAAGTGCGTGCTTATCACTAAGCCTGCACACAGCTGCATGGCACCAAACCCACACTGATGGGTCCCAGGGCTCAGCTGAATCAGGATTATAGGCTCTTCGAATATTACTGGGATATGAAGTGATTGTGGTGAGCATTTACAATATTAGTTAAAGGACAAATTTTGTAAATTGCCCTTGGGAGTATTTTTGTTCCATTCCCACGCAAATTTATCTTTCCATCATAACTTACTGGGGAGTTTCAGTACTGGTTTGATCTCAGGGATTCAGTTACACAATATGCTGTAGGCTTTAAAATCAGTTGCTTTGCCTGTACATGCTCATGTGTTAGCTGATTTTTCAGAGGAGGTGATGATGTAAGCCTAGACATCTGAGGTGAAGATAAAGCCCTTGATCTGCCTGTAGTTTTGGTTAGCTAAAGCACTTTAGCAACTTGCACTCAAAACATAGTAGATTTAAAACTGCAGTGAGTATGCACACAAATATTCCAAAGCATCCCTGAAACCACTATGAATAAAATGGAAGTGAATGAAACATGATAGCTAAAAGGGCCTGTGAAACTTGAGCACAGGACAAGCGTATTAGCCAGACCTGTGAGATCAAGGCTAACGTGTATAAAGCTGAGTGTCTCAAGTATCTACAGAATGGGCTGATTTTCAGGGATTCAGAAGGCCTCGTTGACCCATCAGATATGGTGGGAGTCAATGCAGAGAGGGGATTAGCCTGTCTGCGTGGATGGGACCCCGGTCCTGCTCTCACTTCCGCACAGGAGCAGCAGGGGGGCAGCACGAGCATCCCCCTTCTGAGGCGGGGTGTCGGAGGGACCGCTTGGGCGGTAGCTGGGAACTTTTATGCCATATCCTGGGCTTCTCATTTCCAGATCAGATTTTTTCAGACCTCACAGAAGTACTTTCTTGCACAGACCGAGGGGTATGGGCTGCAGGGGGCTGAGCGCTGGCCTTACTCTTTTGCAGGACGATGATTCCCGTGACCGAGTTTCGCCAGTTCTCAGAGCAGCAGCCGGCGTTCAGGGTGCTGAAGCCCTGGTGGGATGTGTTCACGGACTATCTCTCCGTCGCCATGCTGATGATCGGTGTGTTTGGGTGCACACTACAGGTAAATCAAACGGGATGGAGGTGAGGCGGGTGCTCTCAGGGGTGCTGCAAGAAAACCACAGACAAGGAAGGTCCTCAGAAGCATGGTGTCACGTCTTGTTTTATCTCTTGGGTTCACCGTGAACAAAGCAAAAATTTGCTGGTCCCAGGATTAAAGCTGTTTAGGTAGCAACATCAAATAACACAGACCAGACTTGTAGCAGCTGTAAATCAGCAGAGTTGCGCTAGAGTTGATGGAGCGGTGCCAGCTAAGATAAGAGCTGTTGGCTTGGCTTGTGCCTGGATGCCTGTTTTCACCACAATTTGACATAACAAAACAGATGATTGACTTAAGTTCTTATTTGTTACCATTTTTCTGTTTAGAAGTTTGAAAAATGTAATTTTGTAATTTCTGTTTTTCTTTATTTGGCAAATGTTAATATTCTTTCTGTCTCTATTCTTCAAAGAGATTTTAAATGAATGTGCTTATTTTATTAACACCACCCACAACTAATGTTATGCCTCTTCCGTTCCAAAGTATCTCTGAGGATGCTTGCAAGTAATCAGTTGACATTACTGTCAATCACTGTTAGTTACATTTTGCTAAAGAGCCAAAAGCTGAAAAGAAATGCAAAGTACTGTTTGGGATGGACTCCACAAAAATAGAAAGTTACAGTACTAATTCAAACATGGATCTCACGTTTCTTGGCATGACTTAGAAATGGAGCTAAAGGGACACACTGACAGAGCTCTTATTTCAGGCGAATTTTCTCACATACATGGCCCAAGATTTTCACATACTATGTCCCAAATTTCACGTGAAATCAACTGTAGTTTTGCCTGTATTCTCCATTTGCACGTATTTTCAGTGGAAAAGATATGATGTCCATGTTTAAAAACCTCTTTATATAGGGCTGAATTTTTCATTAGTAGCTAAGTGTTTGCTTAAGCACACAAAGTAGAACATCTGTTATTTTTAAGTTTACTTGCTTGATTGGATGAAGCACACTGGAAAATAATGTGTGGAAACACTGCAAATAACAGGCGATTTTTTTTATTCCAACTTACTACCAGAGGCATGAATCCAGGGTGTAAGTAATGGTGTCTCTCAGAATAGCATTTACAGACAAAGATTAACTGCAGGAGTTTTTGACGTGTCAACAGTTATGGCACTGATATTGTTCAAAACACATGTGGTCTCATCTCAGCATCTCCCTGCACCAGGGTGGATCATCAAGGAGGATCTGATTTTGGTAGCTCTTGTTGCATACCTTATATTTAGTGCTTTCAACAACCATGATGTCAAAGGATACATCTACACTACACACACATTCTTAGTTTGGGCTAATCCCAGTTAGTCATTCAGGGCAAATAACAGAGCTCCTTGGTTTATCACATGGATTAGTATTTTAAATTCAGACCTATAGGGGGCCTTGCACTGAACTCAAACTGTTATCCCAAGTTAAACCAAAGGTGATTGGTCCCTAAAGGCGCTCTGACCTCAGTTTGCAAACATGGATGGCCAGCCCAAATTAAGAAAGTTGCTTTTTTTTGCGTTATAGACAGACTCAAGGACAGAAGGACAGAGCTACGTTTTTTCCCACGGGTGTGTGGTATGAGGACTCTATGTATATCTATGAAAAACTGAGTAAAAATTATGTCCATGCGCAGACGCACACAACTGCCATCAATTCTCCATTATCCCTATCTGTCTTTATTAAGACTGAAGATTAATAATGTCCCAGCATAGATATGCCCACGTCAGCTCTTTGTCAGCCATTTTCGGTGTGATAAGACATCACAGTGTGAGCGTACAGCCACATGAATGCAGTTACGCTGCTTTCAAGCCTAAGCTATCTCTGGACATCGTGTAGCCAGGATGAATACACCTGGCAAGAACAGACCAGATCCCTGGTCTTTTCTGGAACCATTACCCACACTTTTCCTTTTTCTGGATTATCTCAATGCCCTCTTATTCAAATTATGGAAATCTAACCATAGATGAAAAGGGGTGACCTAGTTCTTGGCATATAGAACAAGTGTCTTGTTGGGAATAATAATAATAATAATAATAGCACGGCCTGTGGGGCCAAGTGCCGGGCTGTGAGGAGGAATGCCTGGCAGCTGGAGGAACTCTAAGGACAGCTACCCACTGGTATTGCCACCCTTGTTTGTACATCAGTTTAAAAGATATCTTTTTGTGTGTTTCAGGTCATGCAAGACAAGATAATATGCCTTCCAAAGCGCGTACAGCCTTGCCAGAACCAATCTAATAGTTCAAATGTGTTTAACACAATCCCAGACACAACCCCCCTTCCTCCACCCAAGCCATCCACCCCTCCAGCTACAGTTGAAATGAAAGGACTGAAGACTGATTTGGACCTTCAGCAATACAGCTTTATAAATCAGGTGTGCTATGAACGTGCCCTGCACTGGTATGCCAAGTACTTCCCTTACCTTGTCCTTATACACACACTGGTCTTCATGCTGTGTAGTAACTTTTGGTTCAAATTCCCGGGATCGAGCTCCAAAATTGAACACTTCATTTCAATACTCGGGAAATGTTTCGATTCTCCCTGGACGACAAGAGCCTTATCCGAAGTGTCAGGGGAAGACTCTGAAGAGAAAGATAACAGGAAGAACAACATAAACAAGTCTAATACTATCCAGCCAAGCACTGAAGGCACTTTGGTCAAGACACAGTCTTTAAAATCAATCCCTGAGAAGTTAGTTGTGGATAAGGGAACACCTGGGGCATTAGATAAGAAGGAAGGTGAACAGGCCAAAGCACTGTTTGAAAAGGTGAAGAAATTCAGACTGCATGTTGAGGAGGGTGATATACTCTACGTCATGTACGTTCGCCAGACTGTACTTAAGGTAATTAAATTCCTTATTATTATTGCTTACAACACAGCACTTGTCTCAGAAGTTAATTTTACAGTAGTCTGTAACGTTGATATAGAAGACATGACAGGATATAAGAATTTTTGCTGTAATCACACGATGGCCCATCTATTCTCTAAACTTTCCTACTGCTACCTGTGCTTTGTCAGCATCTATGGCCTCACATGCCTTTACACCCTATACTGGCTGTTCTATCGTTCACTGAAAGAATATTCTTTTGAATATGTTCGGCAAGAGACGGGAATTGATGATATCCCAGATGTGAAGAATGACTTTGCTTTTATGCTTCATATGATCGATCAGTATGATCCTCTCTATTCCAAGCGATTTGCTGTCTTCCTGTCTGAAGTCAGTGAAAATAAGCTGAAACAGCTGAACCTAAACAACGAGTGGACTGCAGATAAACTGCGACAGAGGCTACAGACGAACTCCCATAGCCATTTGGAGCTACAGCTTTTCATGCTCTCTGGACTACCAGACACAGTTTTTGAAATTACTGAGCTGCAGTCTTTAAAACTTGAAATAATTAATAATGTAATGATACCAGCAACCATTGCACAGCTGGACAATCTCCAGGAGCTCTCGTTGCACCAGTGCTCTGTGAAGATCCACAGCGCCGCCTTGGCGTTTCTGAAGGAAAATCTCAAGATCTTGAGTGTCAAGTTTGACGACATCAGAGAACTTCCACACTGGATGTATGGCCTCAGAAATTTGGAAGAGCTCTATTTAATTGGCTCCCTAAGTCACGATATTTCCAAAAACATTACACTGGAGTCTTTTCGGGAACTTAAAAGCCTTAAAGTTCTTTACATAAAAAGCAATTTGTCCAAAATCCCACAATCTGCAGTCGATGTTTCAAGTCACCTGCAAAAATTGTGCATCCATAATGACGGCACTAAGTTAGTGATGCTCAACAACCTGAAGAAGATGGTCAACCTGACACAGCTGGAATTGGTTCATTGTGATTTAGAGCGCATTCCTCATGCAGTCTTCAGCCTTCTCAGTCTTCAGGAATTGGATCTAAAGGAAAACAACCTCAAATCCATTGAAGAAATAGTAAGTTTTCAACATCTGCGAAAACTGACAATCCTAAAGCTGTGGTACAACAGTATAACGTACATCCCAGAGCATATAAAGAAACTCACTAGTCTCGAGCGGCTTTCCTTCAGCCATAACAAAATAGAGGTTCTTCCATCCCACCTATTCCTATGCAACAAAATCAGATACTTGGATTTGTCTTACAATGACATTCGCTTTATCCCACCTGAAATAGGAGTTCTGCAGAGTTTACAATACTTTTCCATTACTTGCAACAAAGTGGAGAGCGTGCCAGATGAACTATACTTTTGCAAAAAACTTAAGACTCTGAAAATTGGGAAAAATAACTTGTCTGTCCTTTCACCTAAAATTGGTAATTTGGTATTCCTCTCCTACTTGGATATTAAAGGCAATCACTTTGAAATCCTCCCACCTGAGCTGGGTGAATGTAGAGCTCTGAAGCGGACTGCTTTCACTGTAGAGGACACCTTGTTTGAAACATTGCCTTCTGATGTCAGGGAACAAATGAAAGCTGAATAGCTAACTCCTCTCGCTCAGTTTTACAGAAATAACGCTTCTACCAAATACGCTGTAGAAAGTGCATACTCCGAATGTGCATTTAGCTTGTCATTATTTTTTTCTTTTTCAAACAAATCCTTTCTGTACAAACAAATTTGGAGTAAGGACTACATATATTTTTAAATAAAATTTTCTCGTATTTTTTCACTGTTTTAAGGTATTTTTTAAGTTTGTTTTGCCCTGAGAACAAGGGTTTCTGTAACTTAATTTTTACTGGTAAAAGTAAATGGTTTTATCTGCTGATGTTTTTTTTCCTTTGCCTAATCCCAACAGGGGAACTGTGTTTAAGCTCTATGCTTTGGGTTGCATAATTTGTAATAGATGATTATATTGTCTTCCTGGTTATTGTTAATTCCTGAGCTTGTGGTCTTCAACGGGTGATGCTGCAGGTGTTGAATGCCCTGTTTCCTCTTTTCTTCAGTGGCAGTAGAAGGTGTTCAACATCTAACAAGATCAAAACTGGGTTGACCATCCTTTTTTATTTATGACACGGTTTTTTCAGATGGTCAAAGCAAGTAGAAAAGGTCCTTTATGTATTTTAATGGGTCTGAGGGAGGACGCAGGACTCCTTCAGGGCCTTTTGGCAAGTTCAGTCTAGCCCTCCGTTCACACACTGCGCCGAGCAGGAGGCACTGACTGCGATTTCCTCTCTGGCGCAGGAAGGGTAGGGTCACAGTTCACAGGGGAGTCAGGTCCAAAATGACTCACGTTGAAGTGCGAAGAGATGCGGCTGCCCATTTCCTGCTGACTTGAATGGAAGGGGTGCAATGAACTCACTGTGTTGGAAACATCAGCCCAGCGAGATGAAACCCTGTCTTCAAAAATCCCCTACCCATCCTCCACTAAACACCCAGTCCTGCAAGGGAACAAGTGCCCTCTGCCCCCCTCAGCTCACTTCCCCACGGGGATGCTTGGCACCTTGCAGGAACAGGATCCAGAAAAAGTGCAATCATGTTTAGTTTGTAAAGCTTCTGACAAGGAAATAGCATCTAATACGCTCCTTAATTGAGCTTGGGTATCATATAACCAAGCTCAGCACAGGAACATTTGCAGGTTTGCAAAAATGAGATTAAATGAATACGTCAACTTCTCAAAAGTCTCAACCTACCAGAGGACAGTGATGAAGGCTATGTCTTCATCTCCCAGCTAGTAATTAAATTGGAAATCGTACAGTTGGAAGTCTGCTTTTTAAGATAATGTAATAATCTGTAATGATTATGCATCAGGTTGTGAACTTTATCCTCTGAAGCCATGTTCAGTTGTTTATGTAATCCAGCCATTTGCTTTCTTTTAGGCAAGTTCGGCAGGTGTGTGATAACTCATGTGCTGCTCACGAGCTAATTTAACCTGATCAAAAATAACCATACGATAGTAGAATATTTTGCTGGGAGGAGATCTCTTCATCCTATCCAACAACACATGTTCGAATCAGATGCAGGCACTGGAGAAATGCTTTGCAAGAATATCTAGGAATAAGTACTTCTTTCTGTAGGAGGCAATGCTGTTTATAAATTGCAGAGGTTGAGTTGCTGATTGTTTAAAGTTATGTAAAATAATTGTCGGATGATTGTCAGGTTGATTGCTCTTAAATGTTTTTCTAGCTGCCGTTGCGTATCTTGAGCTACAGTTAATCTGAGTTCTTGAGCTTGGTACAAAAGCATACTGTTTTTTTAAGAGTCTGACTTATAAAGGTGGGGAGACAAACTAAAAAGAGAATTTCCTCCTGAATCCAGGGTGTGCTATGCAATCTGGCATGTGGGCTTGCCACCGTACCGAGTCAGACTTATTTTTTGCGCTTGGCTATGTTCTGGAGAAGATCCATGTGATCAAGCGAAAATGGGTCAGGCATGAAGGAATCAAAGCAAGCTTTTTTAAGGGGGTTTGATTTAGTTCTGTTAAAGACCTATAACTGATGTAGCTATTGCGAGAGCTACTCTTACTCGTGTATGGAATGCACTTATTGGAACAGCTTGGCAGTATACATATTCTAAATGTATTTCACTTTGATGTAATGTGAGGGAGAGAAATGTTTCATTGCTCATATTAACCTAATTATGTAAACCAAAGTGCTGTTGTCCCTGATGAATGTAAACTGTTTAAAATGTCCATGTAATCGGTGGAGCTGTATAGTTCTCTTAGATTTGAAATATGGGATTACATTTAAAGTTTTTTTTAAAAATCTTTATATTCCTAGATGTAGCATTTTAAATCCCTAATTTATTTTGTGTCTAACGTTGTTTCATGTGTAGTTTGTGGTCCATTTTCTGAATGGAAGTTATGCACACCTCATAACTGAAGGTTGGAGACTTGTTCTACGCCATTTTTGCAAATACATCACTTAGGGGAGGTGGGGTTTTTGTTTGTTACTGATTCTACTTACACCAGTGCAACCCCTCACATGGATGCAGTTACATGAGTATAAGGTGCCTTGTGCTGGTATACCTTTATTCACCTTGTAGATAGGAATAGACTATACCGGTCTAAGCACTTTTGCGCTAATAACTGTATCTTCTCCAAGGGTTTGGTCTGCTGAGGCAGCTTAGTCAATCTAACAGCTCGCTGCCACCAAAAAGGGGCAGTTCCCTCCTCCTCCTGTGCTCCCTATTCCTGCCAGCATGTTCCGGCTGCTTCTCTTGTACCTTCACTGGTCTGGTGCTGGTCTGATCCCTCCACAGGACAAATCGACTTTTTAAGCCAGCAGAAAACTAAGCCAGTTAAAAAAAGGGACTGATTTTCTGCTGGATCAGCTCTCCGAAGGGTCGGATGGACACTAGGGTGGGAGTAGCAAGGGGATAGGACTCTGCAGCCAGGGTCCGGGCAAGGAGAAGGTGGGACACGTCACTTTGGAGGTGCTGAGCTGCTAGGTCAGTTCATCATCTTGCCGAGCCACGTGCTTGGAGAGCTGTGCTGTTTTATCTATAGCAGGGTTAGGCGGCATGGCTTTTGTGGGTAGACAACCCTCAGGCTCGCAGTGAATGATAAAAATATCACAATTACTGTTAATTGCTTAAACTTAATGAAACAAACTCAGGTAGCTGCACTGTTGACTTTTCTAAACTTCTTACTGTCTAGTCTGTGGGGTGTATTTTCCAAAACCATATTACAGTATTTTAGAAATGCGTCAGCTAAGAGAAGATTGTTTCCTGATTCTGTATGACATCCAGGAAAATATGTAAAAGTGCCATATTTACTCAGTGATTCATGTACTGCTCATATGTATATTCACATGCAATGCGTACTAGACCTTTCTGTGACCTATAGACTTAGAATGGATGGACATTTTGTGGATAATACTTTAGGCATGGTTTGTATGAGTTTATATAACTACTTACATTAATCAGGTGCCTAATAAGACAATTCCAGAATATAAGCAAGGCATTTTACATTATTGTTCAAAAATAATACAAATCTTCCTTAGTAACAGAAGCAGAGATGACAAAGAGTGCATCAAAAATAAGAAGACAACCTTAATAGTACATTAAGCCTGAAAAGCAAATCTACTTTGTGATCAAAATCTGGAGATGTGCATCTCCTCCTTTGTCAAAATTAGGATGGATATCTGTGCTGACCTCCTGCATCTAGCCAGCCCAACAACTTTTGCAAATTCTGATTGGAAAGCGCCCGCTCCAAGTCTCGTATCACGGCACTTCCACTAATTCATGTGCTTAAGTGGTGACGGGTCCTGTAAGAATGCCAAGGAAAAACTTTGAAATTTGACCAAATGGACAAACTTCTTAATTCTGTAGCGAGAATCTTAATATGATAATAGACCTGCTTAGTGTTACGTTGCAATATAGTACACCCAGAAAAAATGGAAATAAAATGCTCTTTCGTAATAATGAACATTGTCAGACTGCAATGTGATTATTTGTTTGGGAAACATTTTGTTTCTGGGTTACCTAAAGATCAGACATAACCATCTTTTGGGTTTGATCCCTTGGGAGGGAAGTCAGGAAAATATGCTTGAAAAAACATCGTTAAGAGTTGACAGGATTTATAGCTGCATGGTCTCGCTTCCTGCGCACCTCCTTCCATCCCCTCACTCGGGCAGCCAGCTCAACGGCCAGCAAAGAAGCCGTCCCCATGGGAGCAGCTCCCCCGCTCCGGTCCCTGTGCTCTGCCAGGGTGCGTGGGGGATGCCGGGGGCCCTGCCAGCCCTGGCTCCCACACCGGCCCCCGCACAGCGGCAGCCAGGGGCACGAGGGCTCCTGCCTCCCCCCATCGCGTGCCCGTGCTCCTAAGTGAAATGATGCTGTTAGTCCTTGCATCTGATGTAACCCCCTATAAATCTCCTGACCAAAGGCAATGGGCTCGTGCTGCCTGCATTTGGCATGGGACATTTTCCTCGTTTTTCTGGATCTTTAAGTTGGAAGCAATAATGTGTTTCAGTTTTTGTTTTTTTTATACCAAGACAATGCTGTCCTGCCGAGATGGAGCAAGAAATGCTCCTCTCTGGCCCTTGTGGTCCCAGGGAGAGGAGGGGAGCGACAAGCACAGCAGCCCAAGTCGGCTTTGCCTCTAGATAAGCCCTGGCAGGGAGCTGGCACTGGGGACACGCTGCCCCTGGGGCACGGCGGACCTCGCAGAGGAGTAGAGGAAGCCTTGCTGACGGCGCCTGCTCCTGACCTCCGGGCTGTTCCTGCGAAGATGCGAGGGCTGGGAAAGCTGGCCCGCTCCTCACAGCCCTGCTCCTTCCCACTGGCCCTGCAGGAGATACCATCTTGGGGCTGCACCCGGCTGGGATGGGAATGATGGTACAGGCGAAACTGCCACGGGGATCCCTGGGGCGATGAGATCACACTGCTGGAGCAGATGTCACCCTGTTTATTAAGTGTGCTGGTGGCAGGAGAAGTTCACAGCCTGAGTTAGCTAAGCCCCGACAAACCCCTTCTTTCGGTTTCCTGAAGACACATGCTGGGGAGCGGGAGTTAACCAGAGCAGATACTGTGCCCTGAGAAATCCCTGCCCCGCAGCCGGGGGGGCTCCCAGGGCACAACCCCACCAGCGGCTATGTCATCTGCTCACCAGCAAGCAGCAATGCTAGGGCAGTTTGTCCTTCACTTCATGCCAAATAGCTACTGTGAATTCCCAATAACTGTGACTGTTTGTTTGTCTTCATATATTGCATTCAATAGTGTGGGCGATGGTGAGAAAATTGCACGTCTGTCCTCTTTTCTCCTTTGGAGCGTACATGAAGATTCAGATGAAGAAGAGGTTACCGGTTCTCTTTTTTTTTCATCTGTGATTGCCTCAGAAATACCCCTCAAGCCAAGGGTGCAGGTCTTCCCCGTTGCCACCTCTGTCTCCATGAGTGGTGGGCGGGTGGGAGCAATGGCCCACAGGCGAAGGCCGGGGCCACTGCAGGAGCTCAGAGGCATGACCGGGTCTGCCAGGAGGGCAAGGACGAGCCCCTCGGCCTCCTCCCCATGGGGGCAGTGCCAGGG